GCTAGCTCAACCAAGGCAGACGTGTTCGCGTAGCTGATTGTAACTAAGCATGTGACATTAATCGGTTGTCCCAATTATTGGGGAAACGAAATTTAGTCTTATATTCCTTAGTCGAGCTTTCTTACGTTCACAGTATTTTTATATTCTGTGCCGTCTGTGACGTGAGCAGGCCACAGAGAAGAGGGAAATGCCAAATCTTGAGACATTTTGTTAAACATCTGGATGCAAGATTAGCATAAGCTGATTCTATCAGCATATTTGTGGCTAGTTTGAAAAGTGAAATCAGGAATTCAAGGTTAGTTCCATTTCTTTCCTTGTTTTGTAAAGAAAAAAATGTTTGGCTTTTTGAGATTAAACCTTAATTTGGTCTTATTGAGACCTAGTACTTCAAAATACCAGGGAGCATTTTGGTTTTAGAAAGAGTGTTCAGCCTGGTGGAAAAATACATAAAGCTAATTTACCTGTCGCCTTCGCACTGCGAGAGTTTCAGGAAGGCCTGAATCAGTTTAGTGGAATGAAATAGAACTACGGACTGTTTTCAAAGGTGAGTCCAAAGAAACCTCAAAAGAAGGCTGAGAGGCCTTGGCCCATTTGGCTCAGTGGTTAGAGTGTCAGCCCTCGGACTGAAGGGTCTCGGGTTCGATTCCCGGTTAAGGGCATGTACCTGGGTTGCAGGTTCTTTCCGCAGACCCAGTCGGGGCGCGTGCGGGGGGCAACCAATGGATGTGTCTCTCTCTCCCAGCCCCCCTTCCCTTCCAGTCTCTCAAGAGAGGGAGGGAGGAAGCTGAGGGAAGGGAAGCTGAGAGATGGCTGCTGGTTCTGGGACCAGAGGCTGGCGCATCCCGTAGTTGAGATAAACTCAGGTCTAATCATCTCCCAACCTACAGTACAGCTTTTCCCGCTCTGCTCGGCCGCTCTCCTGGGAGTGAAAGCTGCTGACCCTTTCCTCTCTAATTCCACTAACCCTCTGAATAAAAATGGGCAACATATTCAAGGTTGTCAGGCACACACGTACACGCAGATTCGTGCATATACATATATGCACACACGTGTACACGTACATACGTCCGCTGTGAAATGTGGGAAACAGTGAAGCACAAATCGGGCATCGCCCGTGCTGGTGCGGTGACTGAGCGAAATCGTGATGACTAATGAAAACTTGACTTGTTACAATTTTAAATGATAGCTTTACAACTTTAATTGATTTTAAAAATTGGTTAAGAAATTAGGGTATAAGTTTGTTTTAACTTAAATGTTCAGTTTGGCTCTTCCCCCCCCAGATAAAGTGAAATCCTAACTGGCACAGACTGTTAAATAAATAGATGTTATCAAATCTTTGCTACTAATTTACCTTGAATTTGTACCTTTTATTTCCATTTTCTTGCTGTTTTTATGACTAGAGGAAGAAGTTCACCATCGGTAGGGTGAAAGGAATCATTTCTTAATTATTTTCATGTTCCGTCATTGTTTACATTCTCGAGTCAGGTAGTTTTACAACTGTTTCCATTCATTTGACTTTAAAATTTCTTAACTGGTTCATGAGTGATGCTCCCCATTTAGTGACTTCAGATGAAAGCAACAAGACTTGGGGAAGGAACACAGTCTGTCGACAGGAAGAATTTGAAGATGTGAGAAGGAATTTCAAGAGAAAAGGTTGCACCTGGGGACCAAATTCCATACAAATGAAAGAGCGAGCGGATTGCAAAGAAAGGTACGTGTGCGCCACCTGGTGGCTGCAGCGTGTGACACACGCAGTGCCTTCTGCAGCGTCTCGTCGGCCGGGCTTAACTTTTCAAAAGAAATTGGAATAATGCAGTGATATCCGAAATGGTTTTAATTCCTAGAATGAGTTTATCGTGCTAAATTACTGTTTAAAGTTAAATAGTTAAAATCTCAGATATGTTTTCTGTCTCATTTTAAGGTTTTATTTGCGCCTCATTAGCTCCTCCGAAGCTAATTTGTTGTGTGGTTTTATTACATTAAAATAAACACCTTTCTCTCACAGAATAAGACCACTCTCGGATGGCAACAGTCCTTGGTCCACTCTCTTGATAAAAAGTCAGAAAACCATGCCACTGGCGTCGTTATTTGTGGACCAGCCAGGTATGTGCTTCAGAAAACAGAAGTTGTTTGCCTCGGGCTCCGCTCCTGGGTCTCCCAGAAGCTCTGCTCCGGTCGCCTCGGGTGGCCCTTCAGGCGGCAAGGGTAGCAAATGGCGTTTCTTACACCTTTACTTAGGCTCGGAGCGACTTCCCGTCCCGCGAGCCTTCCTGGTGGAAGGCACCTTGCCCCACAGTGTTTATTAATGTGGAAAAGTTAATATCATAAAAATTAGTATCATAATTAATTATGCAGGACCAAATGAGGTTATTACAGGAGCTAGTAAATAGGAAAGCGCAGACACCTGAAATCCTGCTGGATTAAGCGGGTCTCCTGGAGAACTGTCGCCTCTTGACGTGAAACTTTGTCCACAGGTTAACTGTGGAAAATTGTTGCTTGGAGACTATTAGGGTGGAATCTTTATTATAATTTCAATGAGTCGTAATTATTTTTCATACTCAGCATTCCTGTTCAATATTCAGATATCAAAAAGGTTGACAAGGGCTGGAAATTGTTGAAAAGCCTCAGGAATCGTTATCATCAAAGAAAAGAAAAATTGGTCTTTACACCTGATCATTTAAATTAACAGGGTGCAAAGTTTTTTACTTCACTGTGGGTGCTGTGCTCAGTTTTGCAAGCACCTTGTCACCCATTACCCGCGCTCAGTGTCCTGTATTTCCGTGAGGACGTGCTTGCGGTGTGAGCACCTCCTTAAATGCATTGAGCGTCCATGAGGCGGGGGCTCTGTCATTCCTGGGGGCGCGCTGTCCAATGTATGGTCGTGTCCCGGCCCCTCCCTGTGAAGGCTCGAGGTTCTGCGGTTCACCGTCGGACATAGTTTCAGGCCTAAGGAAGATCAGTGGTCCGAACACCTGTTTCTACAGCATATCGCTCATTATTTGTGACTGTCCAGAGAGAAGAATTAATCAGAGAAGTCACGCTGCCATTTTCTTTCTTAAAATATTTGATCCTATTACATGCTCCCCCAAAGGACGGTTACAGGAATACGAGGGTCTATAGGGTGTCCCCCAAAAAGGGTGTATACACACTTCAAATAACGATAAGGCAGTGTTTACTAAAATACATCTCATTTTCAGAATTGCGCTATCAGCTGTTGAAGTGTGTATACATCTTGGGGGGACACCCTCTCTTTGGCTAAGTCAGTTTGGTCCCCATGAAGTTGACTCTATAGTCCACTGGAAGGTTCGTAGGCAAAGGGTGTACACTTGTCAGTCATGCCTGGAGGTGCCCCCCACCGCCCGCCCGTGCGTGTGTATTTGGACGAGGGAAAGGCACGTCTGTCTGGTACACCGCAGGGCCCAGGGATGTGCGTGCGCATCTCTGTGTCTCCGTGATCTCGTGTCTACAGTAGCTTTATCTTCCTGCCGCTGAGGACCATTCCCCAAGGCAGGGGACAGCAGCCGGTCTGCTGGGAGCCCTGGGCAGCCTTCCTTGGGGCCCCGCCGGGGGGAGCGTTTGCTGAGCTGAAAAGGACTCACCATGTGTATTGATTTAGAATATTTATCTATTAGGTTTTAGCTTTTTTTTTTTTTAATATATTTTTATTGATTTCAGAGAGAGGAAGGGAGAGGGAGAGAGATAGAAACATCAATGATGAGAGTCATTGATCAGCTGCCTCCTGCGCACCCCCTGCTGGGGGCTGAGCCGGCATCCCGGGCCTGTGCCCTGACCGGGAATCGAACCTCGATCTCCTAGATCTTAGGCTGATGCTCAACTGCTGGGCCACGCCGGCCGGGCAGGTTTCAGCTTTATTCTGCATGTAGTTAAAGGGCTCTTCCTGTGAAACACTCCTGTGTGTGTTTGTACCAGGTGCTTGCGAAGAACCAAAGCCCTCGGCTGACGGCTCAGAGCACAGGAAACCAAAGCAGGTCAGACCGGCCGGCCCGGCCTACGTGGACTTGCCTCCGGGGAAGGACGGCCACCGGGAGAGCCCGCTGGAAGCCGACAGCTGGGAGGAGGCAGCCCCCGGGAGCCCTGCCACGGGCACCCCGCAGGTGACCCCCACCAACAGTCTGAGCAGGTCGCCCCCGAGAAAGAGAACAGAGTCGGCCCTGTATGGCTGCGCCCTGCTGCTGGCGTCTGTGGCGCTGGGCCTGGACATCAGAGAGCTGCCCCGGGCGCAGGCTGCCGAGGAGCCGGGGCCCAAGGAGGAAAGGAAGAAACGAGAGGGCATCCTGCAGCGGGTGCCCAGGCCCCGCGGTGCCTCTGATCGCTGCCCCCGGCCGCCGTCCACCGGCGAGGGGCCCAGCGTCGCGGCCTTGCTGCCCCCTCCCAGCGCCCTGGGCCTCCTGTCCAGGCCTTCTCTCTCCACAAGGTGCCTGCTGCAGGCGGAGGGCGAAGACTCGTTCGAGGGCGGCGCCCACATCACGTGTGACCCCGACCTGCCCCCTCCAGATGTCTGCCCTGCCGTCGGAGGAGGTCCGCGAGAGCCAACCTCCAGGCCAGTACAGGAGGCCGACCGCGGCCTGTGGAGACACCCGTGTCCCCCCTGCTCGGAGCAGACCCGTGGGAACGCGCCTCCCTGTGCCTCTTCGAGGGAAAGAGTCGCAGGCCACAGGCGGACCGTGTCTGATGGGAACCAATCTCAGGCCCCAGGTAGGCTGCACTCTGGGCAAAGGTGCAGACGCCACTGTAGACGTGAGAATGTCACCTTGTCTGGGAGCCTGACATGTGATTACATTTCCCAATGACCACATTTATTTTTTTTAAATGTATCTTTATTGATTTCAGAGAGAGGAAGGGAGAGGGAGAGAGAGAGATAGAAACATGAATGATGAGTCATTGCTCTGCTGCCTCCTGCAGGCCCCCGCCTGGGGATCGAGCCCGCAACCCAGGCCTGTGCCCTGACCGGGAATCGAACCCCGATCACCTGGATCCTAGGTCGACACTCAACCGCTGAGCCACGCCCAGCCGGGCCCCAATGACCACATTTATAAATGTGTTTTCACCATTCACACAGACCTTCGAGTTTTACCATTTAACTATCATTTGGATTCTGGGAAAAGTGTAATCAAACTTCAGTAACTTCAGCACGTAAGAGCACATAAAACCAGAAGACCGTGTAAGAATAAATGCCCTGCGTCCCTCGCGGTGAGAAGGCCGTTTGTCCAAATCTGAACCAGTGATTAGTGGGAGTGCTGGAGCTGACGCTGGTCGTCTCGCCTCCTCCGCGTCGCCTGGCCTCGCCGCTCAGGCGGAGTCGAGCCGGTTACTGCAGAAAGCAGGTGGCACACTAGGTGTGTTAATCCTGCGTCTGTGAGATCAAGATGAGTAGTGAGTGAGACAATGTAGATGAAACTTACATTTTACATGGTAGCACGTTGCTCTAAGTACATATATTAAGAGAACGTGCTTTTACTCTCTTTACCTTCCCTCCCCCTTCTCATTAAGTCCTACACCTGGACATGATTTTTTTCAGGTTATTGTCCATTGCCTTTAGATAAATTGGTTTATTACTCCTTTGTAATACAATGAAATATTAGTAGTTTATCGTTGTACGTGGAGAAGTCCGAGCACAATAATCCCGTAGGAAACCATTTTTTTAAATTAAATTTATTGGGTGACATTGGTTTGTAGGGTTATATAGGCTTCAGACGTACATGTCCAGGATGCGCGATCTGTGGGAAACCACTCTTTTTCTCTTAACTGTAAGACGGTAATTATTTGCTAGAATGGTAACGAGCCAGTTCTTCAGAACAAAAAGAGGAGGGTAACCTGTAAAAACCTGCCTGCGTTCCTACTGTCATTTGTTTTAGAATCTGAAAGTGATATTTAACCATATACACCATCATTTTTTAAAGTCCTAACTTTACTCCTATCTAATCCTTTTTGGAACCTGCCCTGTTTATGGAGCAGCTCGACTGGCCGTTGGCACGTTGCTGACGACCTCGCTCCGAGCACAGGTGTCGTTCCATAGTTTGCAGCCCTCTTTCCACCTGCAGTCCATTTTCATAAGAAATCAAACAAGCAGTGTGTCCTAGCAGTTTTCAAAGGGTTGTGTTCAGGTTTCCTTTTCTTTCCCCTCAATCTTCACCCGAGGATAGTCTTACTGATTTTATTTTATTTATTTTTTAAGTATATCTTTATTTCAGAGAGGGGAAGGGAGAGGGGGAGAGAGGTAGAAACATCAATGATGAGAGTTACTGTTCGGCTGCCCCCTGCACACCCCCGACTGGGGATCGAGCCCACAACCCAAGCATATGGGACCGGGAATCGAACCTGGATCTCCTGGATCCCAGGTCGATACTCAACCACTGAGCCACGCCCTGCCGGGCTGCTTATTGATCTTAAAGAGAAGGGAAAGGAGAGAGAGAAACATTGACGTGGGACAGAAACGTGGATTGGTTGCCCCTATACGTGCCCCAACCAGGGATCACACCCGAAGCCGAGGTACGTGCCCTGACCAGGGATCAAACCCATGACTTCGGTGCGCAGGATGGCTCTGCAACCAGCAGCCACTCCGGCCAGGCCTGTGTTCTGGTTTCCTTATGGAAACTCACTTTAAGCGATTACCTGATTGACCTCTACTGATTTTTCTGATCTGCGTTGTGTTAGACGTCGCAGTCTTTCTGATCGCACACCGTCTTTGTTTTCTCAACCAGCTGGAGCCACTGGAGCCCTTGCACTGCCACCTGAGCGGGTGTGGGTGCCGCCCCACTCCTCCTGTGCCCACAGTAACCTGCCAGGCGAGGCCCCGCCTGGAAGACCAAGAGCTTTCACTGCTGTGCCTCGGCCCCCCGCCCTGAGAGGCCCGGCGGACGCCTCCCAGGCCTTCCCCAGGAGGACAGAGCCCCGGCCGGCACCGGCCGACCCTGGCCTGGGAGGTGCGGGCCCGAGCCCTGACTGTGCCCTTGGTGCCAAGGCTAGAACTAGGTCGCATGTGCCTTCCCTGCTGGACGCCGACGTGGAGGGCCAGAGCCAGGACTGCACGCTGCCCCTGTGCCGGCCGAGGAGCGGAGGCGGCCGGCCGGCCGTCTACCAGCTGGAGAAAGAATTCCTGTCTTAAGTGCCTTATGTTGTTCGAGCATTTTTTTTTAAGGTGAATGAATTAAAACACTGTGTCTACCTGCGAATCGTTTCGTGCTGCTGTGTCTTCCGAAGCTGTGGCCACATCCCTGCAGCGGTAGCGGACGCCTGGCCACTCCGGCAGGATGGACCCGAGCGCTGTCAGCTGTCCGCGTAGGTGGTTTTCCACTGGACTCCTGCCTGGTGACTTGAAATACACTCTGGCGTAGGACAGGAGGCGGCAGCGACCGAAGCTCTGCTGGGAAGGGTTCCCGAGGCACCACCTCAGTGCTGCGCCCCGCTGTGTCCCGTCCGCGCCCCAAGGAGCCGGTCACTGTGTCCCCTCCCTCCTTCCCTCCCTCCCTCCTGCCCTTTGTTTTATTTGTCTTTTCTTTCCTTTCCTCACTTTTCCCTTCCTCTCTTTTGTGCCACAAAAAGCCAAGAAGAAGAATGTGCTTTTAGTAAGTAAAGGTGTCTATTTTTTACAAAGCGATAACTAGAATAGATGCGAAGTCCTATTTAAGGTGCCTGGACTCAGCGGTGGGTTTTATAACGCGTAGGCTCGCCCCAGTCTCACCTAGATCATGCACTATTTCCCTCTTTGAGGAAAATCTACTGAATGTAACTTCTGAAAGTGTACTGAATGTAACTTATGAATTTTACCCATTCGAAGTCCAAAAGATGTTTTTACAAGATCAGCCACCGACATTTGGCTCAGACCGTTACGTGTGCACCCGAGAGACGTGGGTCCCCAGGCTCCTCCTGAGAAAGGGGGCTTCCTGCCTCAGAGGCCATGTGGTTGGTCCCCAGAAGTGTAAGCCTCTTCATTCTGTAGCAGAATTTTAAAAAATTGACACACGTGTCATGTATTGTAAACATTCATGTCATTTAATTTTACTTTTCGCTATTTAAATGCATAATTGTGTTCATAACCCCAAATACAGTTAAAGAGAAACACTGCCAAGTGAAGAAGCAGCAATACTGTTCAAATTTAAGTTCTGTGCCTGTTTCACATTTTACTTAATTACCAAGAATAAAATATTAAACATCTGTTGATAAGTTGATACGGTGGAAACGACAAATGTATTTTCAGATATGGGTTTATAAAATGGATCTTTGGGTAGCTGACCGGATCTTAAATGACTTAATATTATAAATGAGTCACGAGTCTACAAAGAGACCACTGAGTCATAACCAACAGATGGTCATCCAGGAGCTCGGTAAATGTGCCGTTTTTTCCCCTTCTGTCACTAGAACATGATTATTCAGACAATAAATTAGACAATAAATACTTAAATATTTCCATACAATGAAAAAATAAATTACAGATCTTACTTGATATTTTATTCCGAATTTCATCGTGGTTGAGGTTACTGAATAACTGAAATGTCAGCCATTCCGGTCAAATCAGGTGTGATAAAACACCTACGTAGAAAACACGGAACGGCCACTGTTCGGACACCTCAGTCACCTTGCGGCTGCGCCCCCAGCTCATGGCGGCCGGGGCACAGAATGCTTAGAATAACATTTTGCCCTAAAGAAAACAATCTGTGCTTAAGATTCTTGCAGCAAAATCTCAGGTACCTGTTGCATTTCATTGTATTACTGTCCATTCTGTGATTTGGCTTTACTTTCGGATAGATGTTGAATTAGGTCATCGAGATTTGGTTTCCTCAAAATTTTATCACCTCTGACCCTGTGCCTGGCGGCTGCTCACTCCATCACTTGGGGGGCGTGTAACTTGCAGCTGAAAGTGGGGAGACGCAGGCCCGAAATAGTACACGAGAGAAGCACAGAAACTATGCTGTCAGTTTCGCTTCTGCCGAAACACCGTGTGGGGTGGGGGCTTGGAGCGTGTCCCTCTGTTCCTGTTCCTGTTCAGCTTTATTTTAATCAGCTCTGTTATAATGAATCTAGAAATGAAGCCATTTAAATAGGTAATTACAATATAAAGATTCACTCTCACGTGTTACTGCAGAAGTTTTTTTTTGTTTTTTTCTCCAAGATCTATTGTACATTTGTGATTTTCTATGTGTACACTTAGCAGAACCTGGTTATTTATTTTTGTATAGACTTCATAGCTCACTGAAAGGTAAATAAACTGATTACTGTTAGTCAGCCATTAAGGTGCTCCCCCCGCAGAGACGAAGGCCTGGGCCTGTGTGATGTACTATGAAGCCTCGTGCATGAAAAGATGTTTACATTTGTTGTCTATTTTTTCAATAAACTTTTTTTATAGTTGGTTTAGTTGCTCAGTGCCTTTGATCTACTCCTGACAGCTGGCTGTAGTTTGTAATGGTTTATTTTGTACTCACTGAGGAAAAGTATGTTAATAAAGACCATCGATGCTTAATAAGCCAGGTATTAACCTGCCAGATTCATTACACTATAGATCATTAAATGAGTCATGGGTTAAATACTTTCATAAAAGTGTAATGAAATATTTAAAGCCTCGTTTGGCTTATGTATGCACTGGAAAGTTTCATTTCCTAGTGAGAATTGGCGACCTCATGCCCTGTCAGAGGGCAAGTTTTGGCAGCAAGGGATTAGTATATTAATGAAATGTCCATTGATGCTACAGGTATGTGATTAATGAGTCATGTTCATTGTTAACATGTTTAAATGAGATGAATTTCAGAAACCACCCAACATCTGATAGTTCTTACTAAGCTTTGGTGAATTAGACAGATCGCAGCATTTCATGCAGATCCCAGCATTGCCCCACCAAGTGAGAGGGAGGGGAACGGATCATGTATCTCCTAGGTTCCCACGAGACACCTCCTCTTAGTCTTTTAAATACAATTTGCAAGGTAAGCAGTAGTATCCCTATGTCTTTGGATATGAGATGGACACACAGAAGTCTGGTCAGTTTCCTGAGAACCGGCCTGTATCTGATCGCTAACAGCCTCCTGCTCACCCCTGTGGTAACCACACGCATAGCGCAGGTGAAGACCCTTGAAACCTGAGCTTTGCCAGTGAAACCCAGGCTCACGTAGTTTATCGTTCATCAAAAAGTTCAGGAGCTGCCCTGGCGGGTGTGGCCCAGCTGGTTGGCCTTGTCCGGTGCACCAAAAGGTTGCGGGTTCAGTTCCCTGGTCAGGGCACATGCCAGGGTTGCAGGCTCGACCCCCGGTAGCGGGTGTGCAGGAGGCAGCCCATCTCACACTGATGTTTTTCTCTCTCTCTCAAAATCAATAAAAATACTAAGAAAAAAAGTTCAGAAGTCTACAAATGTATAAGTACTTAATTCGAAGCAAAGCTAACTGTGGTGAGTATCATGCTTCCTCAGTGAGTGTAAAATGAAATGGAAAAGACTAGAACATCTCTATTAGAGCAACTAAGAAAAATGATGGGTTTATAAGTGGTGAAATTAAGAACTGCAGTACAAATGTAAAATAATTGGGCTGAAGTTGTCTATACTTCTGAAAAGGCCAACATGCGAAAACACAGTGAAGGAGGAGCCTTTATGAATGAAACTGTCGTGGATATGGTGCAGAGCATAAAAACGGACACTTGACATCCAAGCTGGGCCGGGGCAGGGTGGAGGGCTGGGCGGGAGGGGCGGACCATCTCTCCAAGGCCACAGACCCACTGTTCTTACCAAGGTTTACTATATTCTTTTTGAGTATTTACTTGTGTGCTTTTAAGACAGTCTCTAGAGGCTTTAAATTTTTTAAAAGAGTTTTCACCAGTTATGGCTACTTTCCTGGAGGGAGGGTGGGGT